TATAATAGGAGGTATGGCGGGCGAAGTAGAGTGTCTCTATGGGTGTTGTGATTCATCATAAGATGAGCAGTGGAAGGATTGGGAAGTTGGATGGAATTGTATGTGTGGGTTTGGGGGGGGGGGGGGCGAGACAGCACAACGAAAATGAGCCAAAGCGTGAGCGTTGACCGAGCAATAGTGACAGCCTAGAGCAAGCAGAAGCATCAAGACATAAAACGGGGGGAGCGTTGGACGAGCAATGCGTATTGACAGCCCTAGCAAGCACAACTACCAAGGCAACAAAAGAGGGGGACGAGGTTAGACCAACACAGATGTTAGTCCAACGTTGCCGAGAACCATACTCTCTTGATCGACCGAAGTTTCGGCAGAATAACGACACGCGACTCTCGACACAATGAAATCGCCAGGTGCCCAATGTGCCTCGAGCACAAGACACTTGCCCAAGGCGGACGTTTCGTCCGAAGAGATTTTTTTCACTAGGTACATATTCTACCAAACCTGCGCAGTTTGAAGCAACGAACCTGCGACATTCCACCTTCACCAATTGTACTGACGACGCAAAACAAAGAAGCTTGTTCGCAGAGGTCACGACTGCCAGGCGTGTCTGTCGCGGGAACAACATCTCACCGCGGTGGAAACTACATCACCGCCCGTGCTTACTTGCTGAAAGCGGAGGTAGATGGCCCTCATGTCCCGTGACTCCTGCCACGCGCGGCTGGCGTCCTCCGGGGGGAGCTTCCTCACCAAGCCCGCGTGCGCGTGTACCAAAGCGGCCACCTCTTTCCACCGCGCTTGTCCTTCTTTCGTGAGGTGAACGATAACCTGGATCGGTCCGTGTTATACACGCATCGTATCGTCGTTGGTACCGGTGTTTTAGTTGTCACAGCAGTAGTGAACGCCTGGAACTACACCAAGCCAGCCGCGTGGAAGAGACGTTCAGCCATTTCGTTGACCGCCTGTCTACACTCTCGGTGTCGATCGATCCACCTTGAGCGGCTTTGGCCATCGAACCTCGACTCTTTCTATGGTCTGATAACCTTCGCCGGTAAAACCGCGACAATCCGCGCGAGAGATACTCCTGGCGGTCAAGTCGACTGTATCTGACGGGACAGCAGGCCAAATACCACCAGGGCGAGACCACACAAGACTCCGTCAATAGAGTGGTAATTACAGTTCCTCCTCTTATCTCTTTCTCCCCGCTGTCTGACTGCCAACATTGAGGGAGGAAACTGCAACACTTGCGAATCCCCTGGGTTGTCCTTTCCTTCTCTCTATCTCCATATCGCTGTAAAGAATTCCCCCCTCCCCCCCCCCCCCTTCTTGGCCATCGGTGATCGATCGGTTCTGTGCATGTGGAACAATGCTCCGTCCTCTCGAGGACGCGTGGTCTAACCGCTAAGGTATGCACAACAGGAAAACATCCCCCCCGCCCTTCTATCAATGTTCTTCGGGGCTGAAATCGACGTCTGTTACCTGGAATAGGCTGAAGTCCTCGTGTGCCGTCCTCATTCCCGACGACAGCGAGTTGGCCAGACCCTGGTCCTGCAGCGCCGCGTACAGGCTGCCGGGCCCCTCGTGGCCGAGGAGGTGCGACAAAACCATCGTCGGTGAGTTCCTCCACAGGTCACGAACCGGCGGCATCGGCCACTGCAGAGATTCGTACCACACAAACAGGACAAGGATGGGGTAGGGTGGCACTGGGCGGGCGTGGCACGCACACGTGACGGCCATGATAAATAGGACACGGGTGTGGTGCGTGCATAAGGCTTTGATGTGGGAGTGGCAGAAGCACAGGTACGGACGGGAGCAGCGACTGTAGAAGAACAAAAACAGGGCAAGGGCGGGAAAACTCCAACGCAGCACAACACTTCCTCACAGACGGCTTGGCAACGAGTTGCCCCACCACGCATTCCCGCGTATCTTACACACCTAAATGTCTGCCCCCTTCTCATACATATATTTTCCAACGTTACCTGTATGATGAGCTGTCGCATTCCTCGCAGCGGCTCTAGGTCGACCGTCATGGCAGGGGGGGTGGCCCACGGCGACCTCATCGTCTTCGCAAGGGCCTCCGCCACTGTTTCTCCCTCGCCCGGAGTTAGAGTCGGGGCCGATGGTGCGTTGTCGGGCTCGGAGGAGGGACGAGTCGACCCTGAGGCCCGCACCTGCACATCGATTAATATTGCAACATGCGGGCAAGTCCTAAGTCAGCAACAGCCGATTCGGACAATTTACGAGCTATCCAAACAAGACGATGTCAACGCTCAAGTGAGCAGAAATTCTCTCGCTAGGCTAAACGCGGAAAACGCAGTGCCCGTACGGATAGAGCGAAGGGAGGTCTACGGACGATTGATAAAACTCGCTTGTATCCATGTGCACCAGCGGCTAGCCTCCAGGCCAGGAAAATAATGGTGTGTTTGCGAGTTTGTTGCTGCTCTCACATAGAACGGGCCCGGAGATAAGAAACGTCGAAATCGGGTCGAGCCTCAATATCTTATTTTCACCCGGAGGACCAGCCGAAGTCGGCCAATTTCCAATTTCTTAAAACGGATTTCTTTTTTCCTTTGGGCTGTCGCATCATCCTGCTGCTCTTATTTTCCTATTTCTTATTTCTGGCGAAGAAACCAACAACACACCAACCCTCTTCATGCAGCAGTTTCAATCGACAAGCTCGGTGGTGGCGAACACTGATTGGGGTTGTCGCCCTCCTGAACTTCCTGGCTCCCGTGATTTGTGGCAGTACAGCAGTACAGCAGCAGTGGGTAGCGCAGTTCGCGACGGCGCGGTGGCGCGGAGATTGAGCTGAGTTTCTTAGCCCTTTTTTCTTATTTTTTGTAAACATTTGATGTGCATGACAGGTGTAGAAGTGCGGTAACCATTGTTGCACTACAAAAGTAGGACCAAGATACGATCCGAGTGGATGATCTTGCTGATGGTTGATCAGCAAGAAACCCGACTATGGGTGCGTCCGTCTTGGCGCCACCTGCGGAGCTGGGGAATCCGAGACCCTCGGGGCTTGGTCTCCCTCGCCCTTCCGGCGGCACTCTCTTTCCTCTCTCTTCCGAGACCCTTTCCTCTCCTCTCTAATCTAAATCTCAACGAAGAAAAGCTGCCAGTCCTTAGTCGTGGGTGAAGACTACTGCGACCTGGGCCTCCCCACAACGAGGGAAGCCTGTGTCCTTATTGAGCTTTTCTAACAGAATGTTTCATAATTGCGGGCCCGGTCTGTAGTACACATGGACGGCGCCAATGGAAGCACTTGAGGCTTAGCGGTACAACAAACGATTTAGTGGAAGTGGATAGACAAGAGAAACATGCATGTATCACGAGGCCGACCTGTGTCAGAAGCTATACAATTCAGCGACAACGCACGCACCGCGGCAGCAGCATGAAGCGTTCCCCACGTCACCCCCTTGCCGCAATCTCCCAGCACGAAGCGTTCCCAGACTCACCTCCTTGAAGCAATCTCTCGCCCAGGTCTCGAGGTGATCGAGGCTCTCCTTGCCCAGAACCACCAGCGCCATGTTGGCCGCGTGGTAGTGCTCCTTGTGGAACTGCAGGAGCTGGTCGCGGGTATCCAACCCCTATACCGGTAAGGGACCAAAAGGCCAAGGCAACAACAAGAACAGTGCAAGACGTTAACCGCACAGCGCCGCACCAAGCTGAGCCAAATAGACAGTACCTCGTGCCACGTGCGCGTTCCAACAAGAGCCGGCAAGATATCGCAGGTGAGCGATAATAAAGACATTGTGTCCGCTCTTCGATTCGGGTGGTCACTTATTCTTACCCGTCCATCGTTCTTTCGATGTTAATATTGTTTTCGTCGCTCTGAATCCTTCTGGAGGAGAGCCTTGATTTTGTTGTGCATTCAATGGTCCAGCGGCTTCTTCCCTCGAGATTTGTCACAAACGAGCGTTTTCTTACCTAGAACGGCACGTTGACAACACAGGGCATCGGAATGACGTACCTTCTCTCCTCCAACATGGTACCCTCCGCTCAGCAACAGCAGCAGCAGCAGCAGCAGTAGCACATGGCAGGACCAGTACACTATACTAAAACTGCATACGGAGACTCTCTCTCAAAAAAAATAATTAGGCCATCGACATAAATCACGACAAAAGCGCCCGTTTCATCGGCTCTACCATAGAGTGCACCCCTGGGACATCACTGCCGACTACCGCTGGTCAAGGCAAACAAAAACAACACAAGGGAAGGTAAGGAAGGCAAGGCGCCTTGCCTGGGGCACATCCTCCTTGAGCGTCTTGAGATTACCCGTCGAAAACTTCGAGTACGGGTGTTCCGGATCCGCGATGGCTTTCAGTACCTGCCACCGGGGGAGAACAGGCGAACACCGATTCGCCACACGGAACAGCGGCGAAAATCACGCGAAACAAAGAGGGGCAGGGGGGGGGGGGGGCGTGACTCTTATGTTTTGCATGCCTTAGCGGTTAGACCATTGACCACGCGTCCTCGAGAGGACGGAGCATTGTTCCCACAGAACCGATCACCGATGGCCAATCGTTCCTTCCTACTTTGCCAAAGGTGGCTCAAAAATGTCTTCCCTAGTCTGTCTATCCTAACGATATCCCTTCCCGCCTTTTCAAACCACTTCCTACTCCCCAGTACAGCTACCGTCCTCTCCTCCCTATTTCATGCCTCAAACATCTCCCTGTACGTCCGTTGTATTTTTCCCAGCTCAGTCGTGTACACTTCCCTCTCCTCTTCGTACCAAGGACATTCCGCGACTACATGAACACGGTCTTCGCATTCGAAGCGCAATCACATTTGAACTTGTCGTCTTCGTCGTCTACCGTCCTATATCTTCGTCGACGTTCTCGAAGGCCTATGTCCCCGGTCCTGAATTTGACCTTAAGCTTTGTCCCTGCATCCATTGGTCCATGTAGGTAATCCTTGAACCCTATTCATTCTTTCAACATTCCGTACACTTCTCGACCCTCCTTATCCTTGGTTTCTTTCCTTAGATTCTGTTCTTCTCTCTCGGCACAAGCAACAGATATCTTCTCCTTGAACCCCTGTAGACCCTCCGTTTCCAGCGTTTCATCTTCGTCGATGTCTAACCCCTTCCATACGTCCTCTACAACCTTGACCCATTCCGTGGGTTGTCTACCCCTCTTTTTGTTTGCCCACTTCGCCTCCCATACTATTTTCGGCAACCTCTCCTCTCCCATCCCGCACATGCGATACTGCCATGTCAGCTTCCTTGCGTCTCTTCCAGACCGTAGGGATTGGATCCCCAATTCTGCCCTTACGGTTGCATTACTTGTGCGCTTGGAGCATCCTACGATGATTTTCGCTGCTTTCATCTGCGCCGCCTCGAGTTCTTTCACTACCTTCTTATTTCCTTCCCATACTTCTTCCGGCGTACTCTAGCGGGCGGTACGATTACGCTCTTCAAAACCGCCAATTTGATGCGTGTATCGAGGTGCTGGTTTGCGAATATTGGGTGCAGCTTCCCTGCTCGTGCTTTGCCTTTCCGCTACCTTGAACATGTGTGGCGGGGGGGGGGTAAAAAACTTCGATCCCTGACACACCGAGTTACAACCGTAGGTTGCTTGGTGAAGATACCACACACCCTGGTAATGCTGTGGCCCACGTGCTACTTGACGGACTGACTCTCTGAGTTCCGCTGTGTATGGATTGGCGCGATTCTCTTCCCTTCTCTTGTTCGCTCTCTCGTCTGATAAATGACAAAGCAAGTCCCTGGCAGCCACTTACATATGGCAGTGATGCACCCAAGGAAATACACAGGCGTCCAAGACAAAGAGACCGAAACACGAGCCGCGCTTGCATCTGTCCGGAAAAATGTCCCACCTGAAGCATCCTCCGGCTGTCGTTGGTCCTGTTCTTGCTATCTTCGCTATCTACCGCCAGCAGCTCTCTTCCGGTGCTACTCTCCGTGAAAAGGGGCGACACAAAGAACTGGGAGAAGATGTCCAACGCGCCTCTGCGAAGCCCAACAAACGAAAATATGCACACACACAAACACGCGCACGCACACGGAGGTACACTCGATTTGAACGGTGAAAAACGGGCGTGTAACGGGCGGTACACACCGAATAGAAAATATGTCGAAGGGACAAACACATACAAACGGCGGTGCAACGACAAAGACCCAGGTGAAAACGTGTGCCTGCCATGTAAGACAAGTCTAACATTTTCGCAACATCAAAGAGGGGGAAACTTCCACGCTTGGTTTCCTGGGATGCCGCTACGCCATATAGTCGAAATGCCGTCGCGCGTCTAGAACGTGGTATCGCAATATATTTTTGGAGAACCGACCCCTGCCAGCGTGGTCTCTCTCTCTCTCTCTCTCTCTCTCTCTCTCTCTCTCTCTCTCTCTCTCTCTCTCTCTCTCCTTCTCTGGCCTCTTGTTCCCTCTCTCAATGTCTGTATGTCTGGTCGTCTTTCTCTCCCTCTTGCCTAAGGTGGTCCGAGCCGACCTCGAACTTGAAGGTGGTCACGTCCATGGCAGTCGACGCGTTCGACCTCCCCCCATGCTTCGCCAGGTACGACTTGTACGCGTTTTCAACGGGGTACTTGGATGTACCTGCAGTTCCACGCGTGGACGCGACAAAGGAAGATAAGGGACGATCAACCTACCTGCCCTCCTCTCTCTGCCGCCTTCGAGTCGTTCAAATTCTCCTAACCAATCAGTGCCCTTTACATATGATATGTACGGGTACAAGGAAAGTTCACCCAATCTCGGGTGCCCTCGATGACACAATCTCGGTCAAGATTAATTTGAAGACAACACCAACGAGGAACAGCAGTGCGGGTGACAACGTTCTGGACTTTGATGAGGCTCTTGGTCCCGTGCTACTGTAACTGCTCGTTGCGCGAGGCATTTCTTTCGCGCGCGTCGTACTTCATCTCACGCATGCCAACTCATCACCCACGGAGGCATTCATTGTACACGTCCATCCCTTGTCTCTCCTCGTCGCTCACTGAATGCAGAGCACTCACTGAGGTGCGGCGTGGGCTCACACGGCGTAATGCCCGCGGTTCGCATTCAGATTTCACGGGAGAAAAGGCCGCAGACATACGGAACCTTCCCCGCTCCCCGGCCCAACAGCAGCAGCAGCAGCAGCAGCAGCAGCAGCAGCAGCAGCGACCCAGTCACCGACCGACACCATGGAACGACACCCACCGAAGAACCTAACACGCTCACCAATTGCGGCTAAAACAGTCAATAACAAACTCTCACGAGAATTCGGCCATCACGAGACAGCTCACTCCCCGGCGTCACTTCCTGGCCGTGGCCGGCGTGTGCCAGGATTTCGAGTGGCAGTCGCTCAGCTAACGCTATCTCCACTATAGTTTCCGAGCCCCAGACTCGCCGATATGTACTGTACTATGTATGTTCGCCTACCGAGAAAAAGCATGTGTTCGAGGAAGTGCGCTAGGCCAGGAAGGCCCACCGGGTCCGATGCTGCTCCTACGTCCACCGACATCGCCGCTGCAGCTTTGTTGGCGTTCGGGTCGCTGATGACCATCACCTGCTCGTGTACAGGCCCACAGATTGCGTTTGCTTCTATGAGATGGGTCCAATTGCATCAATAGCCAAACCCTGTGGTTTGATGGAACTCCTGTCGAAGAGAAACTAATGTATCAGACTGCCGGGATAGTGCCAAGTGTTCGTGATGGCCCAGCCCTCGGGGAACAGAGGGTTAGCACTTGCGCCGCCACACACAACAGTATCTACATCAGCGGGGGCCTTAGCTAGGTCTGGGCATTGACAATAGTCATGTCAGAACCACAAAGTGCAATAAAATCAGAACCACAAGTAAATACAAGCGACTGACAACCCATCAGCAACAAACACCGCGGGTATACTCTATAGCAGAAACGGTCCGAAAAAAAGATCAAGTACCCGGACCTGCAGACCGTTGGGCAAGAGCAGCCATCGATAGTGGCGTTTATCCATGGGCGACACGAGGATTCCCTGAGGATTCTTCCAGGGCCATGCCTCCAGCGCCTCCGCAAGAGGCTCTGAGACATGACGATACGTTGCAAAACAGCCGGCATTTTTTTATCAAGAGATAAACAAAGCACTGCACAGAAACATGGACTGTTGAAAGAATACAAGGGCACCCCTGTGGAGTGATATGTACGCCAACGCGTGCAGCAGTACTGACACAACACACGACCTGCCACCGTCTGGTACACCGTAGAAGAGTTCAGTACAGCATGTACAACAACAGCTGATGCTGGCACTAGCAGGAGTGTTATGCGTACATCACGCGGGTTCAATGACAGCTTGCCCCCCCCGTCTCTAGACCCTCTTACGACGCAAACCACAAGCTTTGCGCACAGGAATGAACCCGAGAACCAACACCTTCACAGCTTGCACCCTCCTCGACAGGACTACAGGTAAACAGCAGTAGGACGGACTCTCGTGAAACACGACGGAAATGACGGCATTGTTTTATTATTTTTGGTCTCCTCCAGTGTGCCGCCAACGTACCGGCAGAGGACAAGCCGCGAAAACCTACGATCTCCTCGTAAGTCTTCGAATATCTACATGTACGTCATCGACACCACCGGGCCACATCCGCCCACGAAGAAGGTGGTTTCTGCAACCCCAGACTCCGCCGACCAACGTCAACCTGTGTGTTGGACGACGGTATACCTCAACACCCTATGTACCGCCTGATTGTTTCCATGCCGTCCTGTTGTATCATGGCATGCATTTACACCAAGGTCAGCAGAGAAGAGGAGGAGCGTGCCTGCTACTTCGTATGCATAGATACTACCTGCACACCGCCCTGCGCTGGTGAACCACAGCGCGTACGAAACAGCCCGCGTACAACCCGCTTCTTGCTGGCGGGGCAATATACCAAATCATGTCTCGACTTACCCAAGTTGGAGAACAACACCACAGCAAAAAGCACACGTTACATTGCAGAGGTATTGACCAACTGGTTCTCTAGGCATCCTCCTACAGACTATATCCCCAGTTGGAGCTCTCACTCACCGTCTGCCATCGCTCCTCCGCGGAACCGCAATGGCGCACCGCTGTTGCTCCTCCTCCTGCTGCTTGCCGACATGGACAGCGCCGGTTGCCCGGGCGAGCGCCATCCGAAACCTGAGCCTCGGCTGGACGGCGAAGAGACCCACTTCGACGAAGAAGATATCCACTTCGACTGCCCTGGCTCTAGCCCTTGGTGCTGCTGCGACAGATGAACGGTGCCAGACGCTGCGAATGCTGCTCTTGTTGTCAAGGACAAGAGCCTGTTCCTGCCGACCTTGAAAACATGATGGTGCATTGAGTGTGCCCCTCTGCGACAGGAAGAAGGGCCGAGGAACAAGGCCGCTGCAAAACCTGCTGCGTGCTTAGAAGCCAACGTAAGGGTACAGAAAAGAAGTCGCCTATGCTGCATAGCGGGCTGCTGCCCGGGCTGTTTCGCTGGTTCGTGCGCCCGCGGATACATGTCTTGGGGAGGCTGGGGACTCCGCAATCATGATTATACGTATGATTACGTACCACCAATAGAGAACGATTCGCGTCCCCCCTCATGATATCATGACTGCTCACCACCATACCGGCCCCTCTCTGCCTGCAGCTTCTGCCCTTGACCAGAGGTCTAGACCAGTCAGTGGTCAGTGACAGCCTGCCTCTCTAGTCATTCTTCGTCAGTGTGTACATGTCCTTCAGGGGAACAATCGATGCTTTTTGTTGGGCGAGAATGACTGAGGAAGATCACGAAACCGGCTCTCCTGCAGAGAGCCGCAGGGGCAACGAACGAGGTAACGCATAGTCTTCGACATCCTGCGGACGGCCATGGGGGCAGGTGTTTCAGGGCCACAGCGTTGTTTCCTGGATGGACATCTATGGGGGTCCACCCCTTGAGGCAGCGACAAGTGAGTGCCAGCTTCGCATTTGTGAATCCATTCACCACATTATTTTGCCTCCACGGCTGGTCGGGTGCAACGTGTCCACGTTTACATGTTACCACACATGGTTCAACTGCTGTACCAGATGTACGTGGATAGCCTGGTGATACCTGGTCGAGAAGGCACGGCCGCCGTTGTTGCAACCCACCCTCGGCCTCGCATGGTAGATTCAGATGTTTCACGCTGCGGCCTACATAGTGTGGCAGGGCTCCAAAACTACTCCATTTGCCCGTGGCAAGATCCACGTGTAGGAATGCTCTTCAGGCTACACATGGGCTGCTGTTGCTCCTGGTCTTCACCATCCGTGTTCTGGGTATCGTTATACAATACCACCTAACGACTAACTTGAAAAAGGCCGGCTTTCCGAGTTTCCCTCTTCTCCCTCGGGTGCATTTGTGTGATTCCTCTTCTGCATAGCTTTAAAAAAAAAACATGTCCGCTGTACGCATAGGACTGGCACCAACTTTCTGGTACGACTGGGGATGGATCGAGCTTGGAAGATCCCACCCACAGGGGTTTGTGGTGCTGCTGTACTCCGAAAAATTGAAATTTGGTGCACAACGCTGTCGAGGCTGCCTCTCCCCAGCATCCATGACTTTGATCCAAGCCTTCCTTCTCGTCTCCAGGCATACACGGCGGCATTTGACCAACAGTGCATTCCTTTGCTTGTTTCCCGCGCGGCCTCGAATCTTAGCAACGCCGTAGAGGGTTGCCACAGAATAACTACCAACCTACGGAGAAGTTCGCTGCAGAGTAATCCGCTGCACTCACCACGATCAGGTGGGGATCAAGGAGCCACCCGCCGCCATAAACTGTGACCACTTTGTTGTGCGTCGTCGTGTAGCAGTACAGTAAACTGATTGATACCCTTCAACCTCTTCCCTCGATGAGGTCCAATGAACCTGACGCCCTGGGAGTTGAACCAGCAAACTTAGTTCTAAACGTTGATTTCCCAAGTAGGAAGGAGCAGGCGCCTCAGCGGAAGCAGCCTTGTAGAAGACGGCGTATCTCGTCCCCACAATCCCCTCGCCGCGCGGCCTTGCTTGCAATTCCCCCTGCCCCTCCCGTGGTGCGCGTGCCGAACCAGGCAGTGGTGGCCCTGCACTCGGCCGTTCTGGGCGAAGATTTCGTCCTCTACTCGTCCGGCGGAAAGCCGGTAAGTTTTCTGTTGTCAGCAGATTGTATCTATTAAATAGCTCAAGCGGCTGATCTGGAATCCATGCACCAAGAATTTGCTGAGTCATCTATATCATATCGTTGTAGCACTCGTGGTGTTGGAGAGATGAGCCGGGCGTCTGCCGAGCAGCTGCTGCTGTCTTGTGTTTGGTTTTCAGGAATCGTCAGGCATGAACCGCGGGTTTCATCATGAAGGGAGACCGCGCGAGTCGGGGAAGAACTGTTGACGGGTTGGTCCCATTGAACCGGGACCTGACCCATTTTTGTTCGGGTCGCGGCCTGACGTGCGGATCGGGTTTGGACGCGTGGAAAGACACGTTAAATACGCGGTTCAGATTCCGGTATGTACTTCAAAGCGCAACCGTTTCTTGAGCTTGCACTATACCCGTGCCTCTCGTAATGTTTGTAGAAATGTTATCGTTGACAATCACGGGGGGTTGGTGTTTCCGCCATTGAGGCCATCGGGGCCCAAGAGGTTGTTGTTGTTGTCTTCACATTAAAATCCGTTCCGATCTCTCTCTACCCAGTACCTTCGTATGTCCGTACTGATCCAACACTCGACGCGGTCGATTCCCGTGGTCACAGGTTAACTTACCCTAAAAAGGTACACTCAAATAAACTGGCCCCGAGGGGTCCGCAAGTCAATAGAAATCAACGACAGATATTCTGGAATCCTCCACTCCCTCTTCGCGCTATGCGAGGTATCAACTGAGACTAGCAGTCACTATCTATCATGGGCCGGAGAGAAAGAGGTGGTAGCGGAGTTCGAGGGCAAGGCCATCGATTTTGCTGTGCTGCGCCTCGGCAGAGTCAATGCCCTCCCCCTCAACCTCGGCTCTAACCTCCTGGGCCGCGATTGCCCTCGTGGCGAAAACACCATGCCCCTGTGATTGTCAACGTTAACATTTCCACAAGAGTAGCACCCATTTTCACGGCGGTTGTGTCCTCGGTTCAACTATGTTTTTGGAGTGAAACCGTTGGTCGCGTTTTCTGTCGTGCGTGCCCGAGAGCGTTACTGTATATCGCCCCAACTTCGCCCCGTGAACAGCCATGTTTGACATAGGCACTTCTTCTCTTCTTCTCCATTTACTTGTATACATGCATAGTCTTCACCGTGCTTCCACACAATGCACACCGTTGATGCCACCCACCAAGAAGTTTATTCGCACGGCACCGTTCCGGGGGAGGGTGACATTTAGCTTTTTTCCCGGAGCAACTGACTGTTCCCCGGTTAGCGCGGAGGATGCAAGAATCAACCGCTATCACTCGAATCCCATTGTTATAAACAAGGCCCAACCCTGTGCACACGCCCCTCTCGCCGCCCCCTCCCCCCTTATTGTTGCACCCCTATATATCTGAACGTTTTTCTGTCGCACGTTTTGGTTCACACGGGTGATCGCAGGCAATGGGGCCGCGCAATCGAAGCGCGTTTGGGCATGTTCGATGAAGTGAATCGAAGCTGGGGAAGAGCTGTGCATCACGTACCCCAGGCCGTTCGTTCACCATCAGCCCCGAAGCGGCAGACACGAAGTGCACTTGCGGCGCGCCGGGGTGTCGCCAGAAGATATTTCGGCCGTATGACGTTTGAGAGAAGGGGGAGGCGAGGGGAAAGGGGCTCTAGTGTGATGTGCATGTATGTTTGCATGCACATGCATGTTTTTTTGTTGTGCGGATTGTGTGGATGTAACCTGTTGTGGAAACTCCAATATCATGTTGTACCTGTTGTACAGAGTGTACGCGCCACCGCCGCCGTGGCGGTGGCGTGGAAAAAAATACTCCATGCGATAACGTTTTTTTTTTAGGATATGTGCTCCATGTACATAGAGATGCTTTGATGTGCGTGCGAACGCCGTCGGGCGCAAGAGGTTACATAGATGATAGGAATTATGTGCTGAGCCAATGTCAGGTACAAAGGTTGGGGGCGAATTGTTGATTTTTTTGCGGATCGACGTTTACTTGCAAGAGAAGAAATATCTCAACTTTGCCATCGAACAAGACGGCTCTTTTGCGAGAGAACGGGGGCACTGTGTCGTGAAATTGAAGGGATGTATCATAACCGGTCTCTGAAGCAAATATGGTGCTCCGTATTTTAGGGAACTTATCATGAGGTGGTTAAGGACGTCCACGTGCGGGGCACACGTATTACGTTTTCGTATCCCGTACTCATCGTGATGATAAAACGTGACGATAGTAGAAAATCGCCATGAACTAAGTAAGGTGCTTACCACGACCGAGACTTGACTGTTCTTTTGCAGTTTCATGTGGTCTCGCTACCGGTAGGTTCTATCTCCCCACCTTTAACTTCGCCGTGTCTTATCCCTTGAGATGCACATATACATGTAGTCTAGACGTGAGGGGGGGCGATCCGATGTCAAAACCGGAATCGTTGGCGTCTATCACACACACTCATGATCCGTTTTGTTTCATGGTCGATACTGCAGCTATGCATCCAACTAGTCCACTTGGGTCGCGTCATCGGAGCTCTTGGTAGCAATCCAGTATGCAGACCTTTCATCATCCTCCCAAGTTAAACAGTTGTCATCAATGGCGTTCGTTGTTTGGACTATGTCTCACGATGGTCAATTATGACCAATGGTTCAGTTTTCTCCTGACCCATAGAACCACCACTACCAGATGCATCCAGCGGAGACGCGAGATTTCGTGGGACCCCAAAAACGCGGTGGCGCGCATAGACAGACTCAGAAGTCGTACATAGGAGTCCGAGAGAACACACAGGGGATACGTGAAAGTAACGCCAAGTATAGACACGACGAATGGATTCGATTTTTCGCACCGAAGTGAGGGTGGTGCGTGCGCATGACATGAGAAAAAACGAAAATAATAGGAGTAACTTCATATTTTTCCTGCATGGACGGGTGCTGACGACTTAAACCAAGCAAAAATCCAAGACCTGAATAAGATCCAACATAAACGGCGTAAGCACCAGGCAACATGCTTACACACACATACATGAGTGCGGTCGATGCCAATAATAAAAACAAATGCATACATACACCAGTAACAATTACCTCTATACGTCAAGGCTTGAGTAAAGCCAAAGCGGCCAAAGCAATACCCATCAAAGGTGAAATGAAAAAAGACGAAAAGGGAAACAACTCTGGCTACAGAGAAGTCTCCGTTGTTAAAGACATGAGGAGGGCGGGCGATCATAACAGCAGCAGACAGAGTGATTTGACTCACACCTAATGGAACACGACCGAACACCAACAATATAAAAAACAAACAAGTAAAACCTACTTCTACGCTGCAGCAAATGTCGCCAAAGAGGGCTACTGAAAACAGCAAGTAATACAGTAGTAGCGTGGGCTTCCTGCAGCAACCCACCTATTACTTACTACACGTAGATGCCACAACATCAAAAGCAACCCACCGAACCATGACTTTTTATCTGGTCGTGTAAACTAAGATCTAAATTAAGAATCTTACGAAAAAAGACTGGCTCGGTGGGCACATCAACCACGTTCAGCCGGGGAGCGATGAGGTCACCACCCGACCGATCATACAACATGATAAAAACAAAAAGCGGGAGACTTCACGTTATAGACTACTTACATGCTCTAACTCCGGCGTGATCAAATCTGTCTGCACTGCTGTATCTACCTCGATAGCTGCAGACGCATAATGCATTTTCTTCAGAGACAGACATTGAAAAAGGACCACAAGCAAGGCACACAAGAAAAAAACACGGGTCTTGTCTTGGCACCCACCCACGATGATCCCAAAGCGAGTGTTTGATACTCCGCGTAAATCCACTTCCAAGGAGTGTCCCTATTCACACACTACACAATCGCCTGCGGAATTCCGGCACATCCCACAACGAACCAAAGAGCCGTCTCCATCGGAAAAGCTCGCTTGTGGCTTTGTGTAGACACTGAGACGCACTCAACTACCGGTCGCATGTTTCTTATTTCACATACATGTGGCGTATCCACAGCTAACAGCAAAGCTACCAATCAACAATAAATGTACGCCATGTAGAGAGTGAAAGGGAGAAAACAAGACAGGAATAATGAAAAATACAAGTGAAGTCTCACTTGCTCCTATTATGTAGAAAAGCGACAGCATCTGACCACTCTTGATTGTGGTCGGAGACAAGGAGGGCACGAAAGCACTGTTGATGCGCGGAGATGATATTTTGCCAAACAAAGGGTTCGAAACGGATCAGGCACTTCGTCGTCGTGCTCTTGCGGGCGTCAATGAACGGCGATTGGTTTATGAATCTCTCTGCACCTACGGGCTTCAGATCGGTCTGTCTGTGAACACACACGCGCGTGACTCTTGCTGCTGCTCACTCACGACCTCCACCGCGACTTGCTACACGACAAACAGAGCGCGTGGTAATGGCGAGAAAACCAACAAACCCAAAAAATGCACCTCACCCACTGGCTCGTCTACAACACATCATCTGCTAACCCGTTTGTTGGGTAGAAAGCCACATCCATCTGCGCACTAGAGCTGAATCTTGAAAGCAAAGCCACTGGAGGTTGACCAATACCCGCTCTTGTAGTCATGGAGCTTCCAGAAGACGGACGTGAAACAAGGCGACCCCGCGCCCCCCCCCACCCGTTCGGTAGCCTACAACGTAGCGGTGCGGTACCTCTTGGACCCCTTCCCCCCCCGCGCAGTCGTCCCGCCTCCATCCGACGGCGTTGACAGCTCTTTGACCAAGCTACGGATGTCAGGCGGGGCGAGGGCGAGCCGCTGCTGCTGCTGCTGTTGCTGTTGGCGGTGGTAATAGTGACGACGTTTTTTCTCCGAGACAGCAACACCGTCAGTAGTAGCGGTGGTTTCAGAGTGCCAGGATCCATCGGCGACGACCGTGGGCGTGGCAGCAGGAGGAGAACGGGGTACCATGCTGTAGTTCGCGCCCAAGTTCCTCGGCGGCCAGCTCCAGCGCGTGCTGCTGTCGTCGTTATGCTGGTGCTGGTGCTGCTGGTGCCTGCGCTCGACCCCCCAACCGTTGCCACCCGTCAGAATATCGCTCCGGACACCGCTGCAGAAGTCTGCGTCGGAGAGCACAGCGAGGAGCGTCGAAGCGCCGGCCACGACCGCCTCCGGTGTCCACGCCGAGATAGGACTGCACGCCCCGTCCCCGCAGTCGGCGGCCTTCGTATCGCTTATTCCTCCGAGAGAGTTCTGGAGCATTCCGCTGCTACTGCTGCTGCTGCCGCTTGCTGTGGGGAGCACGTTGACCACGACGGGTTCGACGTCGTCGCTGATTTTTGTCGAGGGTGGCCAACCGCCGCTGCTTTCGCCGCCGCCGCCGTAGCTGCCACCGGCACCCGGGCTGCGCTGGGCGAACACCACACTCGGGGAAGACGCGCGACTCGGGAGCATCTGGGACATCATTGGCTCTTGCGGTGCCAGTGCCATCGAGGGCGGCGGCTGACCCGCAAACTGGCCTGCCGGACGGGGAGCTGCGGTGGTAGCGGTTTGGTCGGTCGTCAACACCGACTCTTGGTCGCCGGCCATCAGTATCGCCTCCAGCGCCTTGGGCAAATCGCTCGAGGGTGTCACGTTCTCCGCGTTGAGCGGGAGCCAATCAAAACCGCCGGGTGAGTGGTCGTCGCTCGCAACCCCAGCCGCTGCCCAGCCCTCCGCCCGGTCGTCGTCTGAGAAGTCGTCGCAGCTCCACAGCACATCGTCCTCAAGGCTCGACACGAACACGTCCTGAACGTCGTCCCAGCTCAGCGAAGACGAGCTGCCGTCGACGCTGGATTCCGAGCCCGGAGCTGACACAGAGCTCCCGCGACGCGGTACCATCCGCGGAAGCGGGGCGAACTTCGCCCCAGCGGTCTCCTCCGCCGCTGATGATTTGGATCGCGGAAGGGAGGCGAATTGAGCAGGGAGAGCCGGTGCCGCTGGCTGCTGGCGTGCGAAGCGACTGGTGGCGGTGCCGTTGGACGGGGAAACAACGGCAGTGGCTGCCGCTGCTGCCGGGGCGGGGCTCTTTACTGCAGGGATCTTCTTCCCACCTTCGTCCTTCCGTTGGTGGCGAAGGCGGGGCTCCTTCCTCGCCACCTGCTGGCTTGCGTATCGGCGGCCGGGTGCGGCCGGCTGCTGCCTCTTCGACAGCGACGGCGACGCGGGTGCCACCGCGGCCGTCGCAGAGAGTGCGAGAGCAGCCGGTGTGATGGGCTCGGACTTGCCGGGAGGGACGGTCTTGAGAAGCGAAGATTGCTGCCGCTGGTGCTGCTGCCACCCTGTGGTCGTCGTGGAGGGAGCAGCAGCAGCGGAAGCTTGCTTCTTCGACGGCTTCTTCGAAGTCTTGCACCGCTTGATAGGCTTATCGGCAGTCGTCGTGGAGCTGATGCTGGTCGTCACAGTTGCCGCCACCGACTCCCCCGGGGTCTTATGTCCCTTCGGGCCGCTCTTCTGCCGCTGTACCGCGAGAGCAAAAAAATGAAAGAAGTACGTAGATACACAACGGGCAGAGAGAGGCGGCAGGGCGTTACACACTCACGCCGCTGGACAGCTGGACAAGAGACGCACCAATCTGCTACAAACGGGGGCGAGTGTCCAAAAGGGGGAGAATCTTTGTGTTTGCAACTGGTAGCTACTGTATATACCCTCCCGAGTATGTTGATACGGTTGCGTGCTATGATTGTGTGAAACGCTGTCTGTCGGTGGTCTACATACGTCGTTTGTCTCCTGTGTCGCTCTCCTGAGATGATGAACGCACAACGTAAAAATGGTTGTTTTTCGTCCTTGAACTGGATGCCTGGATACACGGCTTTTTGTCTATAGGCTCCAAGTAACATGGGTGTCTCCAGCCGTTAAGCTAACCACCATTGCACGCTTTGACGGCGCTGATACCTTGCTGATACCCACAGCGTTTCCGAAGCACAACACAACACACGATATCACATATTTTTCTTATGTCGCTCTTTTACAAATACAGCAATTTGCATGGCCGCTTGTTTTCGCTCTCTTTGCACCTATGCATACCACTTCTCGTACTCGCTCTTTTCTTCTCCAGCATGTCTCGTGAGAAAAAAGCCAGTTTCGCAAGGATGTATGAGTGAGGATGATGCCAAGCATCGCTGCGAACGCTTTGCGTTGAAGGCCTACGCGCCCTACTCGCCGGTTGAACCACCCGCTGCCATATCTGCAAAACCGCTGCGGCTGCTGTGGCACACAACTACTGTGCTGTAGGTACATCTCTCGTTTCTTTTCTGGTTTCTTTCTTTATCTCTGTGTCTTGTTGTGCTCACTCTCTCACCGTGCTGTAGACGCAGCGAATGCTCTTTTTGCAGCAGAGCGAGCAGCGCAGCTCCCCATCACACCGCCGCTTCGCCAAAGCGCACGCATCGCACTGGGTGTCGGCAGCGACAGCACGCACAAGCAAGGGATATCGCGCGAGCGACAGCACGCACAAGCAAGGGAAATCGCGTGAGCTCGGGGGCAAAAACGTCGGTGCCACAACTTGCTCGCCCTTGCGTGACAAAAATCTCGTTTGTTGTTCTTCTGATGCAACACGAGACCATCTATCTCGTCATCTCATGCTCTGGCCTACTCACCGATCGGCGCATCTTGAGTGTTGACTGCTGGTCGCCTGGGGCGTCCCCTACGTGTGATCTCTTCTTGACGAGGCTAGGCATGGCGGACGTCTGCGCGTTTATCGGAGGGAGAGGGTGTCGGCGGGTGTGGGTGTGTGTATTCACCTCGCTTGATTCCCTGAAAGACGTCCGAAAGAACCGAATCTTGTCGTATAGTAATGAGAAGCAAATCACGAAGCAATGGCCGAGCGGAAGCTTTTTCTCGGAAGCTTCTTTTTGGTTAAAGTGCCTCATTGCCTCGGTGAATGTGGCGGGTAATAGAATATCGGAGATCGAAGAAGTGCATTTTGTGGTGTTGCCTCAGGACACACTGGTTCACAGGGCGTGATGATGGACTACTACTAGAAGAGGTGGGATGGGCCCGTCGTACAAGGCCTTGGGGGTTGATCACCGTCTTGGTTCAGCTGCATATGTATATTTTTTTCTGGCGGCTCATGCGCCTTGCCGGAGATGACGACCATCTCTGGAGATGGTCGTTGGAAGCTGTCGTCAAACGGTTTCAAGGCGACTTGGTGGGGGTCCCTGTCAACCACGAAACACAAATTACTTGTTGTTTTGTTGAAGTGTTGTCCTTCCGATTTCGTCGGCCATGGTTGATAACGCAACAGAGACGTCATCATCCAGTTGTTCATATCTTGTCACCCGACAACTGATGACGACGGGGTGTGGCGGTGCGGGGTGGTCGCCGGGGCTCTAGACTATATATATGTATATTTTTTTTTTATGCGTATCATCGTAGGTGAGGAGTGAGGATAACACGAAGAAGATGTTGACGCTCTGCCCTTCATCCAAGCTGTGTGTGTCGAAAGGCACCACTTCCTCTGCGTACCAAAATTCCTGGGCGTGTGTGTGCACCGACGGACGGGCAGGCGCGTGGTGATGGCACCTGACAGGCGGGCATCATAGTCTATGTATCATACACAACAACATGTGTCTTGTTAGTCAGTTAGTCTGTTGTTCTGGCAGGATCCAGTGTGGAAAAAAGCCGTCTTACTTATTACTTCATCTAGCTGTCTGAAGTGAGTGCTGGTACGAGGCAAAGTATGCTCACGACACGTGCGCGAGGAAGGTCGTTGCTTCGGTGCAAATATACGTAGATAGATGTGGTCCTATATTTTGAGTTTGTCGTCGTTTTGCGGTGCACGGGGGGGAGAAGAGGCAGGAGCCCGCTTGGAGTTGAAATGTTGAAATTGCTTGCTCGTCCGCGGAGCCAAAAAAATAAAAATTCAAAACTTGCTAATCTGTCTCTGACTCTTTTCTATGATAGAGATGGATTCGTTGTGTCATATTAGGAGCAGAGAGCACGGTGAGGGTGGCGGAGTGACCGCACGCCGTGGGGGTATGCCCCAGAGAGAGGAAAGGAGAGAGTCCAGAGATGGAGGGCCACGCCGCTCCGGGACAAGAAGACAACTCTATGGGAAACAAGGCAAGAACCGGGGTAACTATCACCTTACTTATAAGTTAGCCCGAGTGTTCGCAAGAAAAAATAGCAAAAATTAAGAATACAAAAAAAGCTTCCTTCTCCGGGATGATGTTTCTCTCCCAGAAGCGAAAGATTGACTGACGAATTAAGGGAAATCTGCGTTTTGTGAGAAGCGGCAGAAATAAACCGTTGGCCAATCAGAAAGCAGGAAGTGGACGAGCGTGTTGGTTTCTGTTTTCAGTCTACTCGCTTCGCCGTGTTTACCGGGGGCGAGCGAGAGCACGTGTGTGTGCGTGTGGTGGCCAAGGGTTGTTTCTGCCGTGACGTTTCTTTTTTTTTTCTCCGTCCCGTGGGGATGATGTTTCTCTCCCAGAAAAAAAAAATACCTCGTTTTTTTTTTGACACAACGAATCCATCTCTCTCTATCATAGAGTCTGAGACAGATTAGCAATGAATTCATAGCGTCAGAAAGTACCTGTATGTCTACGATTTCCCAGACAGCATATAGGGACATCTCCCCTGCGGGTAACAGGCTCAACAAGACAGTTTGGTAGCTGTCTTGTGTGTCTCATATATGTTATGTTGGGAAGGTGCAGAGGATATGTGTTAGGTACTGGTCGGGCGTTTTGTACGTGGCACCCTTTTATATTGCCGTATATGACACAAAATAACACACCCCCTTGGCCGATTTTCAAAGCTCGATTTCTCAACAGCAGGAAGAGTCACAGCGCCAAAAACGGCGGCGTTGGAACCGTCTCGTCGAGAGCTGTTCGAAAACGTATTGTTTCATTTATGCATCCTCTTCGTCGTGGAGTAATCGAGCTTTGAAAATCGGTCCAGGGGGTGTGTTATCTTGTGTCATACACGGTAGTCTTTTCAAACGACGCGCTGCTGATGGGGGGTGGGGCCTGCTCTGCTCCTTCGAACCCCTCTGTTGGCTGTACTTTGTAGGCTGTTCGTTGCTTTCCCAGTTGCTGTGCTGTGTTTGCGTCTCTTACGCAGCAGCTCAGTAGAAGTCGGGCTTAGCTGGTTGTTGTGCTCCCCACTTCCCTCGCACTCAGACGACGCATGCGCTTGCTGAGAGGACGACTTCCGTGTTGTCTCTCCCTATCGTTATCGTGGCAAACGGGTGGTGGGCCATATCTTGACCAAAGGCGGAGTAAGACAGCAACTCGGTGCTTGGCAGCCTTTGCGACGATTAATATGAGCACCTCCAAGGCTGTAAACGCTAGCAGCAGCAGCAGCAGCAGCAGCAGCAGCAGCAGCGCCTCTTCGAGACGAGAGAAAGCAGCGCAGGCTGCAGAGCAACGGCTACAGGCATCAAAATCAGCGTGGACTACATCTTCCGCTGCTGCAAGCATTAACCGCGGCAATGGAGCTGGAGAGCCAGTTAGTCCCGCCGCCGGCGAGAGGAGTCGCAAGCGGAAGGTTCCTTGTGCCTCTGTTCAACAGATCTGTTTCTCTGACAGCGATGACGGCTCCGAGTCGGGCGTGGCATTGGTTGGGGTTGTTGCTGGGCCTTCCTCATCCGCCCACAGGGATAACACCGCCGCTGCCGCTGCTGGTGCTACATCGGCAGTAGGGAAGAACAAGCGTGAGAAGAAGGAACCGGTGAGCGGGGTGAACAAAGTGATGAGTGTTGATGGTGATACATGTAGATGCGTCGGAGCACATTACAGCCGCCGTTGTCTGGTGTAGGTGCCGGGGGAGTCTATGCCCAACCTGAAGGGATCCGACAAACAAATGCTATGTATGCATGTCCATGCATTCACGGTTGCAACAGGGTAGATATTGTACAGAGAAGAGGTTCAGCGGTAGACAACATGTGCCGTTGGCGCCACACTCGTAAGTCGTAAGGAATGCCTGTATTGTGACCAAGGCTCAAATCAAACTCCGTAGGCATTTGTACGCCGTGGGTGAGCATCCGCCCAACACACATAGGCTGCACTCAGGAGAGCCATGGGTAAATGTGCTACTGCTACAAAACATGTTTTGAACGCAGTGGACATTGATTTTCAGTCAACCTCTTTCGTTGTTCAATTTCGCTACTCAACCTTCAAGTTGCCAGGTGCATACTCAGCCTCATTGTGTGTGGTGGCTTCACGTATTGTACATTTGTACTTGTAAAGGCGTGGACGAACCCTACTATACTACACACGCGGTCGCCCTAAGGACGAGGGGGGGAGGGGGAGGGGGGCACGTGACAACGCTGCTGTTTCAAAGCCGCGATGATCCTCATGAAGTTTCTATCGACACTAAATAGGAAAAAGCAGCTGACTTCCTCATGCAAGGGCAGCCACGGCGGTGTCGGAGAAGGCAAAGTAAACACACCGAGGCACGGGTGACCACCTCAAGACCTCAAGAGAGGACACTGTATAAGCCAGCAGGGGCATTAAGGAAACATTACGAACACGGTGACAATATGCGTACGACTCGGTCTATTCAGGGCAGGCCATGTGGTTGAAGGACTAAGTCTTCAACCATCCGTGAGCATGGGGGCACTTGGCGGAAGAACCGAAGCATTTAGGTCACCTCTTATGGGAGGTCTGCATTTTGTCTGGAAACCACAGCATCAGGTGGAAAATTCGGAAATTTTCACTCCCAGGCCGACAAAGAGCAGCTTCGATTTTTGACATTATTCCTTATACATAAGCAAGTTGCAAGTATATTTGAAACAGACATATATATGGTTGAGCACTATTCACGGGTAAGATACGTCTCATCTGCGCAGAAATACATACTATAGTCAACCTACGTCTGCGGAGGAGCCGATATCCATAGGCAATCAGCGTTGTCACATTCTCTAGCAAGCAGCTCCTTCAACATCCAAAAGCGTTACATCCCATCGATATCACATCCATGGCATCCTTAGCAAGCTCCATAATGAGCATTTCAGGTTCAGCGCTCACAGCAGTGGGTGACAATAGGCAAGGGATATGACTCAAAATCGTTGCTTCTCAGGGCGGCATCGAGTAAACGCCTGGGGTTTGGTTCGGGGCAACCGCCGAGGACCCCTCCAGCAGGCGGCTGGATCGGGAGACATATTAGTCTATCTGATTCCCGATCATGTCAGCCTACGCCCTCCGGATACTCGCGACCATGCGAAGTATCCATCATCGTATTTCGAGAACCGGTGGGGACGACCGGCCGTAACATACTCTATGGTACATACGAAAAAGGAAAAAAAAGGAAAAAAAGCATTGGGTTTAACTAAACAGGACCGCCAACTGACGATTGGTTCCTTTCGAACCGATATCAACAGCGGCTACGCCGTAGGATGGGAGGGATTCGCACACACCTGCTCTTCGTTGATTGAACAGCACCACATCATCATCAGCACGCAACAAGCAAAGGCAACGGACAGTTGTGTACTGCAATGAGAGCACCAGCACCAGCAGCGATACCAGATCTATCTACTGCTGCGTCCTGTTTTTCCTTTGAGAAAGGAAGGGTAACATGTGTCCTCTTTGCCTCTCTGCGCCAACTGCTCTCCGCGCAATCCTGGCTCGTGGACATTTTGTCGATTGGTGGATGGCGTATTATGATCAGCAGAGAGTCGACACACATGTCCAACATCTCTGTATACATATGGCCTGGTGCGGTGCGTTGTGCGAACAAACGTGCATTTGGTGCCGCGCGCGCGCAACAACGCCTGCACAACGGCATCAAACCCAAATCCCAGCCGAAAAATCTGGCTGGGATTTGGGCCTCCAAATCGCAGCGGGCGAGGCGATTCCGGAGTATATCTGGGATTTGAAATCCCATTTTTTCGGCAAATAACAACACCATGAGGAGTGGTATGTCCTGGCGGCCTCACTAAAGAAACTAATCTCAGGAACTGCAGACCTTCCGTAAGAGTTGGTCTGAGTGTTTCATTGATACAATGCCCGTTGAATGCAACGCCGGGTATTGGGTATGATGCCAGTGAAATCGCGTGACGTATGCATAGATACAATATTCAAGTTGTCTCGTGCTCTGAATAATGCTGGGTGCCCGGTATAAAATGCCAGGCAAATCGGCGTGACACGTGCCGGCATTCTATCGGGACCTCTCCTGCTGTACCAAGGGGTCGAATTGGTAGTGCTTGCCACTTCACCCATCAGAACTACGAGAGGTTTCCAGTTCTCTATGTGTACTTTCATAGGCTACTCTATTTCCGTGCTCAACATTTTCAGCGCTCACCGTTGACGAGGAAAATAATGGCCAAATCCTTCTCGCGATAAAAAAGCACTGCAGAGGGAAGGTGAAATCAGTCAAACGAACACTGCTCCTGTGTGCTCCCTCTTTAAAAACAGAAATATGAAACACTCGACGTCCAGAATGAAAAGAGGATGACAAGCCTACGCAGCCCATTTTTTGGCGTCCCCATTTCCAGAAAGCAACGGACACCTCTGGTGCTGCTGCCGGTGCTGATGGGGCTCTCGGTGTTGCTGAAGCCGCCGGGCGCAGGGCTGAAGCAAGCTCGGCAGCAGGGAGCAGCAGCAGCGGCGGCAGCGTCGCACCTCACTCCCCCAAGACGTGTCGCGTGGTGAGCATTTTTACCGTCGTAGCTGACGAAACGTTTTTCGTTTAGATGGACGTGTTTGGCGGCAGTGACGAATAAATGATGGCGTTATCCGCCGGTATTGCTTCTTGAGTTCGATCTTGGTTCCGTTGTGCTTGTCGTGGAGCGCGGATAATTGTGCAGTACGGCGGTGCCGATGTGTGAGCCAAAGAGACAGAAAAGTCGTGTACATCGAAGATCGAAAAGGAACAGCTCGCTTCAAGGAGCAGGAAAACGAGGTACAAGAGGGATAGGTAGCAGATTGGAGAGAGAGAGAGAGAGAGAGAGAGAGAGAGAGAGAGAGAGAGAGAGAGAGAGAGAGATAAGCATCACCAGCAAAGAAAGATGTAGAGAGCCTTCATATCTTCCACGCGCTGAGAGTTCGAATGCAGCACAGCACGGACTGGTGAAACACCAATTGATGCCTCTCTCAGCCTTTAGAAAGGCATGTACCAAAGAAGGCATGAGGCCCTTGGGTGAGTGGTACGTGGGTGGGTGAGGTAGAGCCTTTAGAATGGCACGTAGCAAAGAAGACAAGAGGCGCTTTGGGTGCGTGGTATGTGGGGGGGGTGAGGTAGACCCGCCCAGGAAAGGCGAGATCGCGCGCTACAAGCCTATTCATTGCCACACGCGAACGTTTTGACCACCCCTCGGCAGTGCACTTCACCTAAATGGTGGTCGGAAAAGGAACAGCAGTCTCGTCATCGTACATCCTTCTTTTTTTTCGACCTGGGTGTGTGTCTCCTGTTATTTATTTGTTGCTCGTTCTCGTTCCTTGTGGCCCTCTTCTTGTGCCTGGTTTTGTGAACAAGAGCTTCACTTTCTTGTCGACGAGATACCGCACCAACTGATTGTGTACGCGAAATTAGCAGCTAAGAGTACGTCGTGTAGGCCGGATTGCGATTCCTGGCATCAGGTCTGGACACTCTGACAGCGGCCACGGGCTCACCATTTGTAAAATCGCTGTGCGAAGGAGAAAATGGTTGCGACTCCCTTTGTTTTTCCTGACAGCCTTGAAACTGTTCGGGCTGCGCGTATGCCCAGGAGCGCATACTTGTCCGCCCCTCAGAACAGGAAAAATCCTGCCTGCTCCGCGTGCTCGTGAACTACAACGTACATGATGTGTGTCAAAAGGCCCACAAGTACCGTGTGTGTATCATCCGTGCATCGTGCAGGTTTCGTGGAATATTGACTGCCTGAACGGCGAGAACAAGATGGCCAGGGTGGAAGAGGTGTGCGCGATCTTGCTGGAATCGGAGCCGACACCCGACGTCATCCTTCTACAGGCGAGTTATTGCTCCTAGCTAGTGGGGAGCGGAAGGTGCCGCGGAGGGGGGGGGGCGGTATCGTGCGCCAGGAGTTTGCCCCGGGGTGGCTGTGCGCCCGGTGTTCGTCACAGCGTTTGTTTGCACAGGGGAGATTTTTTTGTTTTTTGTTTAACTCGGTCCCGTAGGGGGGTTTCGAAGGCACCTGTACTCATGGTGGAGCAAGGTTTACTTCAGAACGGTTGCTTTCCAATCTTGGTATCTGGGTATTCGATTTTTTTTCCTGAAGGGGGCGTCGAGGAGGATGTTCTGGTTATGTAAAGCTCATGAACGTTTTTTTTTTTCGAAAACAAGAACGATTACGATTCCTTCGCCACACCAATGGTGAACATCGATGCGGCAAGGTGCAGCAGTTTGCTAGAAGTATGTCGTGTGTTTTGTCGTTTGTGTAAGTCTCGTCGTGTTTCTCTCTCTCTCTCTCTCTCTCTCTCTCTCTCGATTGAAGAAAATGCCTACACGTGTGGCAGTGGTAGAAGTGAAATGGTATGGTGCCATGTGTCCCAGCCAGTGTGCCGGTACCGTTTATGGATTTGGATGCTCTCTTCCACGTCGGGCGCTAGACAGCTGCTTCCCCTACCTCTCTCCCCGTCCCGTCTTCTTGCAGGGCTCCCTCTTGTACTTTTGGCTTCGTATTGACTCTTCTGCCCGCTCTGTCGGCCTGTGCGTGCCCCGCCCCCCCCTCTGCTCTCTCTCTCTCTCTCTGTCTCCCCCCTTTTTCTTCGGCAAACACCTACTTGCGTTTTCTTCCCCGTACACACTACAACGGTCCTCTAACCAGGAGGTGGATGACGAAATGTTTGCTGTGCTGAACGCGCGGCTAGGGGGGGGGGGTCGATACCGCGCCTTCCCCCCTAGGGTCCCCGTAGAGCAGAGGTACTTCACGCTAACGTTCGTCAAGGTGGGCACTGTCACGGTGGAGGAAAGCGGCAGGAAGGTGAGAGGGGAAACGACAACCGCGTCGTTTCTCTTCCTTGATTGTGAAAGAAAAGGGCAGTTTCTGGTCTAAACACTGCGCGCGTTTGTTCGATGCGGGCTTGTGGAACACGTCTGTGTCGTGGGTGCTCTGTTGTTAGAGTGGTCACCGAGACCCCCAGCATGCTTTGAATGCCTGCAGCAGGTAGGTGACACAAGATACCACGCCCCCTGGACCGATTTTCAAAGCTCGATTAGTCCACTGTGAAGATGATTCGTAGAAAAGAAGGATACGTCTTTCGAAAGCTCTCGACGAGACGGCCCCAACACCGCCGTTTTTGGCACCGTCCCTCTTTTCAGCGGCGGAAATATCGAATGTCCGGATCCAAGCGAGGGGAAGACTAAGATTTTTTTTGGTTTCGTATCCCAGCGCTCTAGTACGAAGCAGATCGCAAGTCCTGGTCCATTAGCCAACCAGAGGCTTGGGAACGGCGAGCCCTTCACGCAACACGATGTGAAGACGAACACCACAGCAGGCAGGGTGGAAGTCCTTACGAGGAATCATTGTCTGCTGAGAGGAGCTCGTCCGAAGCTGCTGCGAGCGGCCAGAAAACTGCTGGCATGCACGATTAAGACGATGAAGTAAACATTGTTGGTTGGGCGTTTGAGTGATGTTTTCTTTCGATTTCGTCTGCCGTCCCTTTTTGTTCCGAAAATTTGTGGAAGGATTTCCCGCACTCGCTCATGGGGAGAGACCTGTCAACGGTTCGGGCTACCTTCAACGGCAAGCCGATGCTCCTCATGACCTCCCACTTGGAGAGCGAAAAGCAAAGCTCCGAAGAAAGGAAGGCGCAATTTAACCAGGTGCGTGTGTGCGGGGGCGGGGGCGGGGTCAGCAACAGCTGTAGTAGGGTTGGGAGAGGAGAAATGTCCACGAGAGTGCACCCTTGAGACTGCGCTCTGTGAGCATGCGCGGGTAAGCAAAACACGGAATTGGTTACATACACGGGTGAAACATAAGAGCTGGCAATGAATGGTGTTCGGCACCGGCTATGTCTTTTTTTTTGTGGGTGCGTGTGTGTGCGCGAAACAGCTACGCAGTTGCTCGAATGGTGGTCGGCACCTTTTTATCTCTTTTTCGCGTGTGTGCGTGTGTCGTTGTTGTTAGCATCGACCGCGCTAACGGGCTGACCGATGAAAAGACGTCAGTCTCAGTGCGGTTGAAAACGCGCGCAACACTTGTAAATGCCATTAAACTGGTGTGTGCGTGTGCGTGCGTGAAACAGGTGATGAAGCAGTTGCTCGCCTTCCGCGGGGGGCCCGCCATCTTCGCCGGAGACACCAACCTCCGGGAGGCTGAGGTCAAGCAGGAAAAGCTCGCCAAAGAGGTGATAGTGGCGATGGGCGGTGGAAGAAGATGGCAACGTGTGTGCCTTTTATTGTATTTCTGGCATGAACTTTAAGCAAGCCATTTGGCTACAAGACGGGCACCCGTTCGCTGGTGGTAGACTCAAGGGCGTGATTTATTTTTGGCACGAATTCGAGCGCACCCCGTGAGCTAGACTCCGGGCGTGGGGCGGGCCTTTGGCTTTGGGACCGAGCCGCGGACATATCCATCGATTTGTCTTTTTTCTACACTGAGCTGCCAAGACAAGGCAGGTATTCAAACAAAGGGACTTGGTGGAACGGTGATATTTGGAAGGACGGCGAGGTGCTTTCCTTGGATGCGCCGCGCCGCACCCCCCCCCGCGCCGCCTTGCTTCGGCTGGCGCTGCGTTTTCCAAGCTGGGCAAGACGCTGGTGCTGGTGCGAGTCGTGCCCACGTACGTAGCACCTGGTGCTTGCTTGTTTGCATCGCCACGCGGTATCTTGCCTGACCCCCCCCGCCGTCTGTCTGCCCTGAAAAATAATTGGGAAGGCTGGAGACATGTGGCAACTTTGCGGTGCGGATCCTGAGCGTCGTTTCACTTGGGACATGGCCAATAACGACAACCTCGTCTTCGGCGGAGGGTTCCAGCCTAGGGCCAGATACGACAGGTACCGCGTGCAACAGGTTATGCACAGGCTCCCGAGGTCTTGAGAGTAGCGTTAAGGTTACAACAGGGCCAACGGTTATTATAGGGGCCTACCATCTTTGTTGTGACATAATGGTATTCAAACAGGTATTTGCATGTTCGTTCGCTTCATGGTTGCATGTTCCCCCCCCCTCGGGATATGCTAACTAACAGCAAAGCTTTGGTGCTCGCAACGAGCCCCGGCTGAGAGAGAGGCGGATCGTTACAATGTACATGTCTTTGAGCTTCTGTCCTGTCAATAGAATGTACCCGTTTATGAGATCGACCGTGTAGAAAGGTTTTGGACTGGCGCGATTCCGCGAGATGATGCGTCTGCCCGTGACTGGATTCCCACGACCGAGCAGGGGCGCAGATTCCCAAGGGGCGACAGCTCAGTGTAGAGTACCCTCTGTGGGTGAGGTGCTTCACAGACGGCCAAGATTTTTGTCATCAAATTGTTCGCAGTGACGTTTCGAAGCTATTGTTTTGTGAACGTTAGTAACAATTGTTGATGGGGGGAGTGACACTTGGTCTCGTCTATACTGCTGTGTATTGGATCTTCCACCACCAACCAAGAACACCACGGACCGTGTAGGCCACTCCCATCTCGCCCTGCGAATGAGGTGATCGATCGCTCTGTAGGCGCACGGGTGTTTACCCTCGTGAACTGTTCAGCAGGTGATCGGTCCTGTGCGTGTCGAACAATGCTCCGTCCTCTCGAGGACGCGTGGTCAATGGTCTAACCGCTAAGGCATGCAAAACATAAGAGTACACCCTCCCTCCCTTGCGGATGACCTTTTGGCCTCAAAACAGGATGTTCGTCAACGGTCAGGCGAAGGGGTACGCCAGATCTTTCGTCCTCCTCGGGACCGAAAGGATGGCCCCGCCACACTCTTGCTTCCCCTCGGACCACTTCGGCTTGGACACTTGCTTCGAGTGGTGAAAGAAACACCATCGATCGGAGGGAAAAGAAACATCATCGTGAACTCTTGGACTCTTCTAATCTCTGGATAGAGTGGTGTCTTCGAACAGAAACGAAATCTCGGACTCTCGCCTACGATAAAGATGAGATTGGTTGTGTTTTTTTTAGAAAAATCAACACATGTCGTCTCACCTCGTACAGTAGGCGAGTCGTTCTCGTCTACAGTACGAAAATCGTGTGTGCGTTGTTGGCTGCAGCGCGGTGTGTAACGAGCCACAAGGTAAGGAGGATATCAGGGCTACTCCTGTTGCGAATGGTCGAAACCAGCGAGCCCTGTTTTTCGAGCTCTCACCTCTCGGGGAACAGACTGAGTAAAAACTTAAATTGTGTGCGTACGCCCCCTGCTGATTTTCGATGTGACGTAAATCTTGTATTTTTGTTGGAGTTGTGAACGAAGGAAGCTGTTTCGCTGTTCGCGAGGATGGGAGTGGCTCGCTCCCATCACATGGATTGGCTGGAAAAGCGATCCGGGTTTTGTCTGGAACACCAGACTAATGTTTTTTAAGTGAAAAAGTGCAACGGCGCTGTTGACCTGCAGCACGGAGCTTTGTTCGAGTGTGGAGCTTTCTTCGTTTTTTCGAGTGTGGTGTAACGATGCTGTTGACCTGAAGCATGGAGTTGGCCGGATGTGGCACAAGGTGACGCATTGTGCGAGCGGTGCGGGCGAATTGCCTGGTTCTGGTGGTAGAAAAAAAGGACGAAATCACCGGTATCGAAGTCGAAAAGGACGAAATTACCGGTATCGAAGTCGGTTCGACTAGAGTGGTGAGGGGGCCACTTGTCGAAGACTTACCCCATGTATGCATACAAACAAAAGTTTTCGCAGTGGTAACACGAGATATCGCCGTTTTCGAGTGAACAAACGCGCCTGCTTTGAATATGGAAAGGTAGCTGCCCACCAACAGCGTTACTCACAACACTTTGTTTGGAGTGTTTTCGTTGACGCTATGCCACCCACATCACAAACAAGACCGCAAAGCAGCGAGCCGCCTCCGCGGTCTGAAACATGTTGGTTTAGCGTATCCATCGCAAGTAGACTTACCCCGGCCTATCCAGCTCCCCCTATGAGTATATACCAATGGTACCGAATTTCAACCTCTCTGTCAGCCCCACCCTCCTCCTCTTCGACGTTGCGCGCCACAATTAAACGCCTCCCAAAATATGGGGCTCAAACTAGGCGCACACATCGTTCTGCTAGCGACACCGTCAAATAATTTTTCATCTCACGGTAGCACAAAAACAAAACCAGGTTGTGCCCTCATAGCAAGGCACCAATCGATACCTCCGCAGCAGCTGCCAAGCAGCGAAACCGTCGCGCATCCACAAGCATCCGCGGCCAACCTCCCACAGAAAAACAAATTTGGCGAACTTCACACCGGCGACGCTCACCCTTACACAAAGTGCAAAAAACACTACAGCTCTCCTCCGGCGCTTGCGAAGGAATCACCAAGAAACCGCCTACTGCACACGGAGTAAAGAGCCGAACCAGTTCGGTATCTATTTCGCACATTTCATGTCAAAATCGGAACAGAAATAGGACACCCTTTTTCCTTCTTTCCCCAAACATTGTAAGACCCAAATAGAAACAGCAGTAGCCGCGCACCATGACTTCCTGAACGATGTTGTCGTCCTGTGCCGCGAGGATAACGAGGGATACAGGAAATGTCGCCGCCCAAGCGAGCGACACCTCTTACCCGACTCCGCAGCACCAACAAACAACACCGCACACACACAAAAAACTCAAATCTGATAAATAAAAAACATGAAGGCGAAACATCATGAATTTTTTTTCCCGCAAACCTCCAGCGTGCTGCGCTCAACGCTGGATGCGTGATTCCCTACGAAGAAGCCAGTATCCCTGACAAACCTGCGCTTTTCCTTCGTGGAAATGGACAACCGGTCTGCCCGTGCGCAGAAATCGGGCGTCGCCATGAGCACTTCACTCAAAAAACATCGCTCAAATCTCGACACTGGCAGACTAAACAAGCTACGCTCCATGCTCCCCCCGCCGGATGGCCTTCGTTTATTTTCTCTCTTGGAATGGCCCTACAGCCTTAAAGCCCTCAAAAGACGACAGCAGGCACGCGTGCTCCCGGAAAAAACTCCATGTAGTATCTAGCGTCCCCCCCGAGAAGCCCCTTCCGACAGCCAGACCTTGACCGTCTCGTACGTCGTCCACGAGATGGCTACCGAGGGCATGTGCACCAGTAACCGTGGCAAGGCTCCGCGGAAAAATCCAGCGGCACCCTCTGTAGCGTGGATTTGCCGCACCTGTAACAATACAATAAAATGAAAATTAAAAAACGCGGAAAGTTGTTCGGGTTAGAAACGAAATGTGGCTGTCATTCTTTGGGCTCCAAAACCCAAGGATGAGTTTCATGATTTTTTTCTTTAGTGGCAACCACCAGCCATCGGCACCACCCAAGCCTAAGAAACCCAATCCGTGCTTGACCTGCTATTTGACACCTGCCAGGCGTTTACCGTGGGATCCACCCGCTCAGCGCCGGCTAGCGCAGATAAATAGTTCGCACTCCACAAAGAAATACCCCCCACACTCGACGGGTTAATTGGCATACAAGTAGAATATGTTTATTGTGCTCAGTCTTAACTGGGGCGAACGGTCAAATGACCACTTGCTGGACAATGGACAACCCCTCCCCCCCTCCCCCCGATGTTTGCCATCGGAGCTGGGTTCTCGTCGCTTGGCAACTACGTTGAAAAACAAGCCCATCACTTCGTGAGCTCGGCAACCAGGTTACCGCTTTTTTGCCTCTGTTTTTTTGCGGTAACCATGATGGTGGTCGGGTAGATTATGTTGTGTGGGGTCGAGAACCCTCACTCCGCGCAAAGGGGATGATCGCACCACGTTGTGAAAATTTGGTCAAGCACCCTCGAGGGAGCTACACAGTGCTAATAACTGTCTCTGGTTTAGAAAGCACCAGAAAATAAATTAAGTCATACGCAGCTGTTATCCGTATGCAACGAAGTGAGCACAAGATGCCGAACACCCTTAGCAGGATGAAGCGCACCCTTCATGCGACTCGCCGAATATCTCACGGCGCTTTGAGAGCCTGGTCCGATGAGAACCCGGCGTGCTCCGTCCCGGCTTTGTAGGGATACAAGGTCAATGCTCTCACGACTACGGCATGCACGACTATGACTACACTCCTCACCCCCCACCCCGCTCCCGACGGAAGCTGCGCTCAGCACCACGATCCCATCTCACCGCGTCAACCAGCCCCTGGTACTGCAGTGTCACTACAGGCTTGTCCGCGCCGCACCGCCCGGTCGCACACCTAGCCGCCGCGCTGTGCAGTCCCGTCCCCTGCCCCGCCCCC